CAGACCACTGTGACAAGCAAGTCTGAGAAATTGCAGAATTATGCTGGAGATAATTTCTTCTCAGAAGTATTCAGTGAGCCAGCTAGGAAAGATGCCTCCCCTGACTTGTTTGTGAATAGAGAAGGACTCATGGGAGATGCAATGGTAGGTCTCTTTTGGCCACAGTGACCATGAAGTGGTTGAGTTTAAAGTTTTTGGTGTAAATGAGAAAAAAGGTCATCAGAATTGGTACCCTAGATTTCAAGACAGACAGCAAATCTTTAGTGCTTTAGGGAGCTAGTTATCAGTGTGCTCTGTTCAGCCAAGCTGCTCTTCTGTCCATCTTGCTTGACTTCTGGCACAGTGTGATTGCCTGCTCCTGTGCTTCTAAAGGGTGGTTCTTAAAGACTGACCACTGACTTGTGGATCTCTAAGCCCTCAAAAGCAGATTTCCAGGTGGGTTTTTAATGTCTCCAGAGAGGGAGACTCCATGACCTCCTCGGGCACCCTGTTCCAGTGCTCTGCCATGCTCAGTGTGAAGTTCTTTCCCTCCACCACTCTGTTTTAGTTTATGGCCATTGCTCCTTGTCCTGTCATTGAGCACCACTGAAAAGAGTCTGGCACCACCTTTTTAATATCCACCTTTGAGATAATTGTATGGGTTGATGAGATGCCCTCTCAGTCTTCTCCAGACGAAACAGGCTGAGCTCCTGCAGTCTCTCCTCATAAGAGAGATGCTCCAGACCTCTGATCATTCTTGGACCCTCCACTGGACCCTCTCCAGTAGCTCCTTGACTTTCTTGAACTGTGGAGTCTAGAATTGAACACAATGCTCCTGAAGTATGGACCACTGAGTAGAGGGGCAGGACCACCTCCCTCAACCTGCTGGCCACACTCTTCTGGATGCACCCCAGGATACCATTGTTCCTCCTGGCCACAAGAACTCACTGCTGGCTCGTGGTCAATTTGTCATCCACCAAGACTCCCTGGTCCTTCTCTGCAGAGCTGTTCTCTAGTAGTTCAGCCTCCAGCCCATAGTGGCATTTGGGATTATTCTTCCTCAGGTGCAGGACAGCACACTTGGCCTTGCTGAACCTCATTAGGTTTCTCTCTACCCAGCTCTCCAGCCTATCAAGGTCCCATTGAATGGCAGCTTCCAGGTTTATCAACCATTCCCCCCAGCTTTGTATCATCAGCAAACTTGCTGAAGGGTGCATCAGATGCCTTCATCCTGTTATTCAACCTGTTCAGTAAGGCTGAATAAGTCTGGCTCCAGTATTGATCCCTGGGAAATGCCACTGAGTACAGGCCTTCAACCATATTCTGCTTTGCTGAACACAACCCTCTGAGCTCTGCTAGTTCTTCATCCACCTCACTGTCCATTTATCTAACACACGTGTCCTGAGCTTACCTACGATGATGTCAAAAGCCTTGCTGCAGTCAAGGTAGACAACATCCACTGGTGTCCCCTTGTCAACCCATCCTGCCATGCCATCATACAAGTCTATCAGATTGGTCAAGCGGGATTTACCCTTGGTGAATCCGTGCTGCCTAATGACTTTTCTTTTACAAGCTTGATCTGTTATTACAGGATGATCTGTTCCATCACCTTTCCAGGGACTGAGGTGAGACTGACTGGCCCATGGTTTCCTGGGTCCTCCTTGCCCTCTTTGAACATGGGAATAACACTGGCTTTTCTCCGGTCATCAGGCACCTCTGTTGTTCTCCATGATTTTTCAAAGAAAGGGCTTTAGCAGCAACATCTGCCAGCTCCCTCAGCACCTGTGGGTGCACCCCATCAGGGCCTGTGGATTTATGGTGCTAAATCTGCCTCACCAATCTCTACCCAACCCTCTGCAACCAAGGGGAAGTCTTCATTTCTCCAGCCTTCTTCTCATACCTCCAAGATGTGTGATTCCTGAAGACTGGCCTTTGCAGTAAAGACTGAAGCAAAGAAGGCATTTAGTAATTCCACATGCTCTGTGTCTTCTCTCAACAGGTTACCCATCTCACTCAGCAGGAGCCCCACATTTTCGCTAATCTGCTTTTGCTGCTGATGTACTTGTAGAAACCCATTATATTGTCCTTGGCATCCCTTTTCTAACTCAATTCCAAGTGGCCCTTGGCCTTGGCCTTCCTCATTGCATCCCTGCATATCTGACAAAGTTCCTCTCACCCTCCCTGGCCTTTTTCCTCCTCCCATGAATTTCTTTCTTGTTCATCCATGCAGATCTCCTGTCCCCTTTGCCTGATTGCTGCTCATGGGGATACACTGATTTGGAGATTGGAGGAAGTGATGCTGAATATTGGTCAACTCTCTTGTACACCCTTCTCTTCTAGAGCCCTACCCATGGGATTCCTCTGAGCAGGTCTTTGAAGAGGTTGAAGTTAGCTCTCAGGAAGTTTAGGGTTTTAGTCCTATTTTCTGCTTTACTTCTTCCACACATGATCCTGAATTCCACCATCTCATGGTAACTGCAGCCAAGGCTGCCCCCAACCATGACATCTTCCCTCCTGATTTGTTATTACAAGGTGCAATAGCACCTTTCCTTGTTGGTTCTTCCACCACTTGCATCAGAAAGTTATCTTCATTAATTTCCAGGAACTTCCTGGACTGTGTGTACCGAGCCATGTTGTCTCTCCAACAGATATCCAGTTGAAGTCCCCCGGGAGAACCAGGGCCTGTGATCATGAGGCTGTTTCCAGCTGCCCATAGAAAGCTTCATCAGCTTCCTCCTTCTGATCAGATGGCCTGTAGTAAACACTCACGATAGTGTCACCCATATTAGCCTATCCCTTAATTCTTAACCATAAGCTCTCAGCTCACATCTGTCCCTGGGTAGAGCTCAATACCTTCTAGTTGCTCTCTCACATAAAGAGCTCTGACCATCTCTGACCTGTCCTTTCCCAAAAGTACATAGCCATCCATGACAACATTCCTGTCATGTGAGCTATCCCACCATGTCTCTCTAATTGCAATGAGATCATGGCCCTATAACCACCCATAGATTTCTAGTTCTTCTTGTTTATTCCCTATGCTGCATGCGTTTGTGTACAGGCACTTCAGAGAGGGAATCGAGCATCCAGGTTCCCTAGAAGGGGTGTAGTGGGATTCACCATAGCCATAAACACCCTTGATGTGGTTAGCCCTGTGGTTCTCACCTTGAGAGGCAGCCAAAGTTGCACTGGTTGGCATTGGTCTACACCCCAGGGGAACATAATGGCATGAGCATTACAATTACTTCAGACCCCACCCCCAAATCCTTCTGTTTGAAGCGCATCTCACCAAATTGGCCAGCCTGCTGCCAAAGATTCTCTTGCCCTTTTTAGACAGGTGGATCCCATCCCTCTCTAACAGGCTACAATCATTTAAGTGCAGTAGGTTTGACCTCGACTGGCTGCCAGATGTCCATTCTCACTCCCAACACCTTAAGAGGACAGGGAGAAAATAGGATGAGAAAGTTCATGGATCAGGACAGGGAGATCATTTACCATTCACTATCAGAAAACCAGATTCAACTTGTAGAAGACCAATTTATTGCCAGTTAAAAATAGAGTAGGATGGTAAGAAAGACAAAACTAAAATCACCTTTTCCCCACTCCTCTGTTCTGTCTAGGGTCAGCTTTACTCCTTCATTCCTGAATCTTCTACCTGCACCCTCCCCAAGCAGTGCAAGGTGGGTAGGGAATGGAGGTTGCACTTGGTTTACAAACCTTCATCTCTGCTGCTTGTTTCTCTTCATGCTGCTCCCCTGTTCAGCATGGGATACAGTCCTTGATGGTTCCTTCTCACAAGCTGCAGCTCTTCAAGCGCTGTTCTAGCATGGGGTACAATCCATCAGGAAAAGGCTGCTGCAGCATGAGTCCCTAATAGGCCGCAATTTCTACCAGGAACTTGCTCTTGTGCGGGCACTTCATGGGCTGCAGCTTCCTTCAGGGTACAACCACCTGCTCCAGCATAGGATCCTCTCCAGGATGCAGTGTGGATATCTCCTGTCTAGCATGTTTCATCATAGACTGCAGAGGGACAACCTGGTCCACCATAGATGTATGTCTGTATATTGTCTGCCACATATATTAAATATATAAAAATTATAGTAGGTGACCTTTCATAACAAACTAGTTTAGCTTCCCCGTTTCCTTATAGAACTTCTTAGGCTACATGGTTTAAAAAGTCTTACAGGCAAAAACCTCTTCATATTGTGACAGTGTTTATTTTCCTATTATATTCTCTCTTACTACCTTGCCTCCCTCCCCACAGTTTTCAGTCAAGCTCAAAAAATTAGCCTCACTTTTCTGCCCCACCTATTTGAATTGAAATGCAGGTGATAATCAATACATATAAAACATAGGAAAAGCTGCCAGCCAAAATGAGTTATTTGGCTATTTTTGCCCGTACAATCCACTGCATCGCTGTTGGTATTCTTAATTACCAGCCTCTGAAGAGCCTATGATCTAGTTGCATTCTTACATGTAGTCCTGCAGAAGTATGAGGAGCAATGCAATTGAGTAAAATACCTAGAATTTTGCACATGGTTTTTGGTCGTCATTCAGTTCCCTTTAAAGAACAGCATATATTTGGCTTGACTGTATTGCACTCCTGCACACATCTATCTGCTGTTCAGCATGGAAGAAAATCATTGTGGGCAAAGGGGCAGACATGGCTGATATATGATCATAAGTGTTTATTTCTGACCCTTAAGTATCCCCATGAATATATAGTAGTTGAGTGTGTGATAACTTGCCCTTCTGGTTAGGTGCATTTTCTGGAATCTTCTTTTGTTAAGTGAAGAATGGGCCAGAATATGAGTGCCTGGGGCTAATCAGCATGTCAGTCTCATAGGTTGCAAAGGTTCTGGCTTCTTGAGAGATTCCAGTTCCAGCCTTTTTAACTTTCATATATGAGGCACACACATGTTGGCCTAATATAAAGTAATTTTAGAGATTAAATGGTAGTTGTCATTACAGAGTATTTGTTGCCAATGAGGTAAGAATGAACACCAAAATAAGAGTTGTTCAATTTGTTCAGAATTCTCTAACATATGTTAGAAAAAAAATATTAATTTTAAAAATCCAGCAGTTTTTAGTCAAAAGACTAAAAAGACTTTAAAAAGTCTTCAAAAATTGCTCCATTTTTGAGGTGCATTCAAGAGACCTGCCTTTCTGAAAATTCTACACAGCCAGATGATGTACATGCAAAGAGGAGTGTGGCCTTGAAAAATCTTTGTCCAGTTTCTTTTTAACCTATGATGTGCAGCAGTCCTCTAGGAGTATATTTGGTATGTCCAAACAAAATATCAACTTAGCTTCTTTTATTTTTGATGTTGCCTGTCCCTAGGTGTGCCTTTCTCTCGGAGAAGAGGTTCTGGATGATAAAGCACATACCTGAATCAAAACACAAAATGGTGTAAGAACAAGAGAGTAGAGTCCAAACTGTCTTCAATAAATAGGAGCAGTAGGAGCTTCATCTGGCAACCTTGCACAGTTCCTTCCACTTAGGAACAGAACACTGCATCATAAAGTTGAGATCCTTCAAATTCATGTTAAAGTCAATGACAGAACAAAGACTTGTCTGTAATCTCCAAATTTTTCAAAAGTATTTTGGTGATGAGGAGAAGGGGCCGAGAAGGGGCCTATTTACATGCGGGTTTTGGAGTGGGCTAATAATTAGCTTGAATAATCAAGCTGTAAAAGTCCTAATTTAGATATAACTTCTCATCCCAGCTTGCACAAAGAGTGAGCAATAGTTGCACAGGACAAGAGTATAATCAAATGGAAATTGATTTTTTAAAAACCCAACAAAACAAAAAAGGAAAGCTTCCCTATGTAGCTGTAAGGCCAGGACCACTGAAAAAGTTCTTATTGCTTTGTTTTTTATGGCTTGTACACATTATGTATCTTACAAATTCAACACTGGAAATCAAAACAGGTATTGATGCACTTCCCTGCAGTGATCTGCAGAAGATGTGGCAGAGACAGTTAGAGTTTGTGAAAGGCACAATACTAACTTGATTCTTTGTTGCCATAAACATCCCAGATGCCTTGGGACTCAGCTTTCTGAAAGATAAGATACTTACCTGCAAAGAGCACTAGCAGGTACATTTTCAGAACATAGGGGAAGTAGATTGAGAAGGCGAATGGAAATGGTAGCTTGATGGAGTATGTGCCAAAAGATTCAAAATAAGGCAGTGATACATAAATTGCAAATGCTGTAAAACATGGTAAATCCTTAGTCAAAAGGAGGTGGAAGATCATCAAGAATCTTTGTGTAACTGTTAATTACTTTTAAAGCACAAACAACTGTATTGTATATACCTATACATTCATCTACATATATATTCACATGCATATGAACATTTTCTCCTTTACTTCAGTTTCGTAGGTCTGAGTTGCTAATTGCTCTTAGTACTAGAATTAGCAAGTATTTCCTATTTAGTGTCAATCCTGTAGTTACAGTGCTTTCAGTGTGCTCTCAATGGACACTTTTCTTGGAGTAAGTATGATGACCTGCTAAGTATGGCCTAAACCAGTAAGGTCAGCCTCAGTGGGAGAGAAGGCAGCTTTGGAACTTGCTATTTAATGTGCTCAGTCTGGAATGAGCACATTCGAATAATGTGGGAGAATCCATTTGTCTTTTACAAGAGTATTTTTCTGCTTTACTCAGAAAAATGAACATTTTCCTATATTGTTAAAAAACAATCCAAAACCAACCAAACAAAAACCCCACCAGAGGTTCAAACCCCAAACATCAGAGAGCCCCTATTGAAGATAAAAGAGCAGAGAGGTGACATACAGGTTAATATGAAGGTACATAAACATTTATGACAACTTTGGCAACACAAGAAGTGCCTTAAACACAAATGGCAGTTGAAATGATCACATTTTATTGAAGAATATTGAGGAAGCAAGTTGTTGGTACCTTTCCCACATCCTTACCTTTAGCCAGAACTGAAAGAGGATAAAGTGGGATGCAGAGTGAGAAGTTGAGCCATGTCAGTGGTAGGTAGTATATTCCCATCCTTGCCAACATGTTGTAAGTGTATCTGCAGCAAGAGAAAAGCAGATGACCTCAGAGGGCATGATGATGTCTTTTGGAATAAAGAGACGCTATTGAAAAACCCAAAGGAATTGCAGAAGAGGTTGGAGCTGCCTATCTCAGTAAATTTCAGAGTGAGCAACGGTTTTGTTTGGGCTCCATTATCTAAAAGCAGATGGTTCATTGTTTTGAAGAAGGGGTCTGTGGTGCTACCCCAGAGCAGGTAGACAGCAATAGAGTCCTCCTGATGGAAAGCTCTATCAGAAACATCATGATTTCACACTGATCCATTAGAAAGTTAATTTCAGATGAGGATATCACAACTGGGAGGTGCAGGTAGAATATGCCTATCACTTGGGACTGAGAAAATGGTAATTTATGACTGCTGAGCTAGCTGGAAAAGGCTAAACAGGATGGTAATTGCAGGAACTTAACCTTCTGTAGTACATCTGCCCCTCTCCTAGACCTCAGAAAGGTAGTAGGAGTAAAAAAAAAAATTGTGCTCCAGTGTAATTCATCATTATGTTCTTACTGTGGCTGTTACTGTGTCTCACTGGGAGACCAGAATGCCTAGGACTTCAGATCCAGAGGTGAGCTAATCCTGGTTTGATCTTAAAGTGGTACAGGCACTTTCCAAACACTGAGAAACAGATCTGATTGCTCTGTGGTCTTACTAGAGATACAAAAGCCTGTTACCCAAGATTTTCTGACAGATGAAACCAGCATTAAACAAACCTTCTCTATTCCTGTCTTATTAATTGTTTAACTTCGCATCACACCTGGACTGTGCAAGAGTGTGATAGGCTGTAACTGTACCATTTTCTCTCATTGCCTTCTGAAACCTCAGGATTGTCTCAATTTTTTATTATTGTTGCTTTTAAGGCTGAATCTCAACCTGATACAAAACAGGAAAAGGAAACAGCTATTCCCTCTCTATACAGCTCCATGGGCTGTATACTCCATGGTATAAGCAGGAAAGATCAGGTATAGAAAACCTTGCAGAATTTGCTCATGGCCACCATTAGTAATAATGCACAATAAATAGCCCTTCAGGGATATTTATGTCCCTGAAGGACTATGTGGAAGAACTTGTAATATTTCAAGAGTAGTTGGTTGGGATAGATCCCTTTGCACTTTTAGACGTGGATGTTTCTTTGAGATATTAGGACGTGACACTGATGCTGTAAAAGAAATCAGGCAATAATTCTAAACCTGTATGAGTTGTAATATGTTATTTGAATTGGTCATTTGCTGCTATAGACTACAGTATTTTGCTTACTAAGCAACTGCCGTTACTGCTGTGATGCTGTAGCGTGTTCTTTAGCAATGGTAGAAAATCAATGATGCTTTGATAGAACTACTGTGCACTGACAAGACTTTACAGACAATGCTGTTTATATCTTTGGCATCTCTCCAGCTGCACAGAACCCTTTCATTTCAGATTAAGTTCTACTTTTTTAGCCTTACAAGTTTCAAAAATAATTGGGATGGAGCAATAATCAAAATAAATAATATACATAGTAGTCTATTAACACATGTAGTACAGATAATCTGAAGCTGACTTAAAATCTCTACTAATTCTGATGCTTTCCTTTTTTAGATTTCTTTTACAACATGCATTTCCTTTGCTGCCTAAATCCATATTTTTCAGTCAGTCCCCTAAGAAATATGTTTGTAGTAGCAGAAAGCTATTTTAGCAGAAAGAAAAAAAGATTTTGCTGCCATCCATAGGTTGCTGTGAGGGCTATGTCTTCTTAAATTCTTCTTAATTCTGTATGTTTTACCTGCTGTAAGTCTGCAAACTGAGGTGCATAGAGGCTTATGTTACATTTGAGAAGTATGTTTGTTGTCCTTGTGCTGTGATTTGTGCCCTACTACACCAAAATGCTCATCTCTGCTGCAGGACCTCTTGGCTTTTTGGAAAGCACACGTGCAATTAACCTATATTAGTCTTTTCATTTTAGCAAGAAGTTCTGCTGGTGCCTCACTGTGCTATCAATCTTGGATCAAAGTGGATAAAAACAAAAAAAGAAATAAAGCAACAGGATCATAAATCAGTTTCGGAAATTGTTGTTCCTTGGAAGGTAGTTTTGATTTCCTTTTAAATTTTTGTTGAAAAAGGCGAAGCCTTTGAACTACAAATGATAATGCATTATGTTACTGCATTACTCTGTCTTATATTTTTAAGTCACTCTGCCTCTTCACCATGTGGATTTTTATAAAAACCAGTAAGTAATTTATAAGGTTCAAGCTTTGCTTAAAGTGGATAATATGCTTTGCCAATTTTGAAACAATTAAATGAGCCTGCTGCACAGTAAAGGTGGGGTTCTGCTTGCAAGAATAACCTGTTTTTTGATGCTGACTTCTTACCTGATCACATCTAATAAATTCCAAAGGAAAAATAAAACACACACGACATATTTCCCTTGAACTTCTTCCTGACTGTTGATGACGACAAATAAAACAATTATTCTCTCAGTGATCTGAAAAGAAAAGAGAGGTTTGAATTCAGGTAGCACCTTCTGTAGCTGTTATTTCTGTGCCTTTGTGGCAAAATAGTAGGCCACAGGTGGATCCAGTTTCATTTATGCAAATTCAGCAGTAGATGTTTTGTTTCTTGATCTCCTTTTGTTCAAGATCCCATTAGCCTTCACAGGCAACTGGGCACTGCTGGCTGCAGCATCACAGATCTGCTGTGGTAAGTGTGGAGGTTTGCTTGCCAACCAGCATGACTTGGGTTTGTAGCCTAGGAAACCTGTGGCTGAACCGGATGAGGTCGTGGAAGCAAGGACTACTCCCACTGCACAGTGGTGCCTGGAGGGCCAGCAAGGATGAGCTCCCTTGCTTATAGGCTGTGTGGGAGGCAGTGGGTTACAGAGGGCCCTTCTTGGAGGGTTAGTATGCCAGAAAGTACTAATCTCGCACTCCCAGCTCTGTTTTCCATAACTTACAGATTTGTATCTCAAGGCATCTCTGTCACGTAAGATTTGCAGAAAGAGGGAGGAAAAGCAGAATTCCTGTCTTTCTTTCCACCTTATTCCTGACCGGGGGAGGAGGGTTTAAGCTTGTCACTTATGTGAGTGATTGCCATAGTATTTATGCCCTAACATTTTTCTAGTGGTTGAACTTTATCTGACCCACAAGGTATGCCTTTACAAATGAAGAGATAAAAGTGGATTAAATGGGCAGTGTCCCCAGCTTAAAATAAATACTTCTGTGGTACTGAAGCTCACAGAATCAAAAACAAGTTTGTCTTTTTGCAGCTTTCCTGGAAAAGTTCCCTAACAGTATCCATGCCCTGCCCTGCTAAGTAAATATATTAGTACTGCCAAGAATTTGCTTGTCAGGCTCTCCCAGAACATTACCAATGCACTCTGATTTACACTTCATTTGAAAGTATTGAAGGAGAAAACATGCATGAAAATATTAATCGGTGTAGCTTCATTGTTTTAGTTTTTTTTTTACCCACTGCCATGTCTTCCATAAGGTACCTTAGGTTTAATGATTTCACAGGTTGAGGTGTCAAGCCAGTGAAAAGTTACAAAATGAAAATGGATTACCAAGGTTGTTTTTATAATCACAGTATTTCTTCACTGGTTTCCTCTTTTGTACTTACTCCTTCCTTAAATGAAATAAGAAATTTCCCTATAAGCCAATTTGTGTGGTAATTTTGCTACAAAATGTTTATGGGTTCCTGCATGGATCATTTTGGGACAAACTTTTTTGCAAATCGCATCTGTTGGATAAAGCAGCCTTCACTATTCAGCAAAATTACGTGAGAGCAATTTTTCATACAGAAAGAAAGCATGTCTATCCCCTAGGGATCTGGTTCCTCATCTTGGAAAGCTCTGAGGGCCCACAACAGCTAAAAATGGTTTAGCTGCCTCTCACCCTATCCTAACTGTCATCTTCTGTTGCTGGTCCCGTAGGTCTGTAACTGAGGAATTGATTTCCAAAAAGGTCAGATGTTGACAGACTTCTGTGTATATGGGTCAAGAAACAGAAAGTGAGAGGTCCTGTGTTTGTACAGTGATGCCAAGGAACTTGACAAAACATGGGGGAACTGGAAGTATTGATTTGGGATCTGAAACCAGATAGAACAGAGGTAGGAGAAATGTTGGCAGGACAACCATCACAAGAGGGAAAATAAAACGAAGGTGAAAGCAGTGTGAGCACTGAATGGACTTGTGTGCAGGAGAGAACAGATAAAATAGACATGAGATAAAATTGTTAGATGAAGGGTGGTAAAGAGTGCAGCATTGGTGATATGGGCATTTTGTTACTGACCCTAAAATCAGACTGAGATGTGGAGAGAGAGTTCTGCAGTGTTGTTAATAAAGAGCTATTTCAGGGAGTTGCCACAGGAAATTGTCCTAAAGACCAAGGCTATTTCATGATAATGAAAAGAATGGACATGTTTTTAGATGTTAGAGCTGGAAGATTTTCCAAATGGTCACTTGCTTTTCAAGAACCAGCTTGGTGGAAATGTGTTGGAAAACAGCATGGGTCAAGTGATCAGAATCTGATCCCATTTCAGTGAGAAAAAAGACATGCAGCAGGAAGCCACCATCCCCAGTTTCAAAAGAATGTGCACTGGCCAGTGAGACAGTGTGGCTATAGAGACCCACAGTTCAGCCTCATGATCTGGGAGTGGAAGAGACTGTGGATTTTCTTCTCTCATTAAGGCACAAGCAGAAACACGAGAGGCGTATTTCCTCCATCAGAGGATTCATGCTTGGGAAGGGGAGTGATGGAGGCACTCATCTCTACTATTTGCATATGATGGAAATTGGTAATCAGACTGTAAACTATGTTAAGCACCTGCAAGAGCAGGAAGCTGAACATGACACAAAGCTGGCCCCCTGTAGATCTTCTGTTCCCGTTAGACTGCAGCCTCATCTGGCAAAGCATGGGATGCACAAAGCAACCACCAGACACTGAACCAGGAAATGACCTGTGGCCTTACTCCAGAGCGTCTGCAGGCAGGCCACAGACCTGGCTGCTCAGAGCAATTGTAATGTCCCCTTGAGGACAGACAGTGGCATCCTACCTCTTTTTCTGCATAAATCAGGGGGTTGCCTGCCTGCTTGCCTTTATTCCCTTTCATGACATGTTCTTTCACAGCTCATACCTTTAGGTAGCCTGCACAAATCAAAGGTAGAAGCAGGGGTTAGTCAGAGAGTGGGGACCTTTTCTGCAAGTGACAAGCTATTTGAAGAAGAGGAGATTCCAGTAAATGTCTGTTGATACTGTGCCCCTATACACACCATATCTGTATACATATATACATGGAGTCATGTACATATATAAATATACACACGTGTGCATATACACACATATACACACATAGATAAAAAGCACATGCTACTGCTCAGCAATGGATCATTTCCTGTATGGATCATCCATCCTTGAATGAATGAAAATATGGAATTATCTTTTGCTGCTCTGTTGCTTAGGAAAAAAACAAACCAGCAAATCTCCAGGTCTCATGTTTTCGTATTCATAAAAAGAAAATATGTGCTAACATGTCACAAGGCATAATTACAATGGTTTCACTTTTCTTTCCTTCTTTAAAATCAAATCGGAATTTCCTTCCTCTCCCAGCACTGATTTCTCACAGAATACAGCAAGTTCTGTAGAAGGGCATAAATTTCCACAAGGCAGCCTGTGTTTTTGAATCAAGTAAGTGAAACAGAGAAAATTTGGCTAGCTGAGGTTTGGGCAGGAGCAGGCAGCACATTCACTTCCATTTTTTAATTACTATGACTGCAGTATCGTACTTGGTAGCTGAAACTCTTAGATGGCTCTTCAATTCAGTGAATGTTAAAAACAAAACAAAACCAAGGTCAGAAAACTGCTACTAAATATTTAAAGCTAAAAATGAATGGTTTTATCACTGTATTACAGTGTTTGTGGTTTGGTAAATCAAATCCTGTTTGCACAGGATGAAGAACTGGTGTTTTGTTCAGAAAACCACCAGTCTTTTTTTTTTTTTTTTTTTTTTTAATCTTTCCTCTCTCCTTACTAAGGTACCAGTCCCTGGCCAGACTGTCACATTTTATTATCTTCTGTTTTGGCGACAAGGGCATGTTGTCCTGCCCTTCTCCCCAGCTCAAGCTGCAAATAAGAGACATCCCTTTTGCACCAGCTTTTTGACCATGACCTGTCTTGCCTTCCCCCGGCACATCCATCACATCAGATTCATGTTTCTTTCATGGTGTGACTTGGCCTTGGCCTACCTAACCCTTCTCAGGTGCCTGGTGGCCTGAGATTGTTCCCTCAGTGAGGAAATTCTGGATGAGTTTTTCCAGAAAATAGCTCTGAGTTTGCTTTTCCACTATATATAACATGTATCTCAAAGTGTTTTTCTTAAATGCTACTATCCCATGACAACTGCCTGAAAGAAGGTTGTATAGAGGTGGAGGTCATTCCCTTCTTCCATGTCTCAAGCAAAAGCACAAGAGGAAAGGGCCTTTAGTTGTGTGAGGGGAGGTTCATATTACATGTTAGAAAATTTTTCTCACTGAAAGAGTGGTTAGGCATTGGAATAAATTGCCCAGGAAGGTGGTATAGTCACCTTCTCTGGAAGCGTTCAAGAGGTGCCTCATGTGGCACTTGGAGATACGGTTTAGGGGTGATTATGGTGGTGCTGGGTTGACAGTTGGATGCAATGATTTGAAGATCTCATTCAAATTTGATGATTCTGTTATATGCCCTGTGAACCCTGAACAGCATCAGAACCTCTGGATGTTGGCACCATTTGTCTGGGTCTGTGAGGGCAGAGACTTCTGCTGCAAGAACATGACAATTCTCCTTTCTTTCTCCTCCCAGCATTAATTCTTCAGCTCCTAAATTTCTCTGTCTTAATCAATTCTTTTCCTTCCATGATCTGCAAACCATGTTTCAGGAGGCTTGATGTGCTGGTGGTTTTCTCACTGCCATCCTTTTGCTACCCCACAAAATCTTGTCATGTTCTTGTCTATAAAATAATTATTCATTTGTTGGTGAAAAAAGGCATGGAAAATAATTAGATATTGAAACTTGGGTTCTGAAATGCTTCTGGCTATAAACAGGTTGGCTGGGGAGATAGTAGCCTCAGCCACTTATGCCCCAGAAATGAGAGCTGACCCACTTCTGCAGGTAGCCACTTATCTGGACATCTTCTGAGTCTCTGCTGTTGTGGGCCAAGGCATGTGGCACTTACTATTCAGTTTTGCTCAAAAAGAAAAAAATTGAGAGGACAGCTCCTTCCCAAGCAACCCAGTTCTGAGGACTCAATTCCTGCAGTTACCAAACTATCTCAGCAGACCAGGCTCCCTGAGGAAGGGTGCAGATGAACATTCAGGGTAGTTCAGCCTGCGCTTGTCCCCAGGGGGAGCCATGGCTGACATGTAGGTCATGAAGACAGTTTTGAGAAATGAACTTACCTGCAAAAACCTGGGGAGCAGACGGCTTTTGTCAATGCCAGTGAGGATGTGTAGGATCTCCAGTATAGATAACAATTGGCAAACACGCATTACAAGTCCTATGGAGTAAAATGTGTCAGCCAACGAATCTACAGACAAAGCAAAGATGAAAATTAGAGGATGGTTATACAGTAATGTTCTGGAGCAACTGCTGGGTTAGTTCTTGCCCTATCACCACTGGAGATTTAGAGAAATAAAGTTCACACATTACCAAACTTTTGGGTAGCAGAAGCCAAGCTTCAGGGAGTGAAGGAGGCAGTCCACTCCATGTGTGGCTCTGATGCAAAGGCAAGGAGCTGAGAAAATAATTAAATGCCCTATATTTAATCATGGGCATACACTGAATGTGTTGTTTTAGAGATACTACTTTGGGAAATTTCTAAATAAGAGGAAATGTTGAGCAAATCCACGAGGAATGTCTAAACATGAGGAGATGTTGAGTTCCTGCCTGTATCTGTACCCATGGCACTGCCTAAAACAAGTAGACCAGAGAGGAGGCATTTTATATGCCTACAAGTGTCCACCACCATAAATCATCACTAGTTTTCTATTTTTGTGTCTTAACCCCAGGCAATAGAAAGAGGAATACGTTGTAATGTTTTTGGAGATAGAGAGTCATGTGCAATAACCACTATCATCTTCCCTCCTGGTAACTTCAGTAAGATTAATATTTGCCATAATGACTAGACCTAGTCACATTTAGGTCTATATCTAAGTCAAATGTTACTAGCATGCTGCTGAATATTAAAGCCCATTAGCAAAATGAGTTTCATTCCTTATGTGACAGGGACAGAACATAGGTACCACTAATTTTTTCAGCCTTTTTAACCGAGTATTTTCCTAATTGAATTATAGTCACATATTCAGAATCTTAACTTAATCTCTAGTTTGATATTTCTCTGTCTGTCACTGCCTCTTAAAATGCTTAATGAAAATAGAGAAAGAATCTTACCTTCTCCAAATGTCATGAACCTGATGATCATATTTGTAAATATCCATGAATGTCCACAGAATTGCATTAAGTCATACACAAACAGGTACATGTTCATGGTAAAGCTGTGGAAGTGAAAATAGTAAAGCAAACCATGTGACTTACAACAACATTGTAAGAAATTGCACCCTCTTTGGACGTGTTAGTAAATCAAAGAAAAAGAGCTGAAACTGAGAAGAGCCCTGCTGAGAAGGACTTGAGGGTGCTGCTGGGTAAGAAGCTGGACATGATCCAGCAATGTTCACTTGCAGTCCAGAAAACCAGTTGTATCCTGGGCTTCATCAAAAGCAGCATGGCCAGCAGGTCGAGAGAGGTGATTCTGCCCCTCTGCTCTGGTCTGTGAGACCCCACCAGGAGTGCTGCATCCAGCTCAGGAAGGACATCAACGTGTCGGAGTCCAGAGGAGGGTCACCAAGATGATTAGAGGGCTGAAGTACCTCTCATATGAGGAAACATTAATAGAATTGGGAATGTTCAGCCTGGAGAAGAGACGGCTTCTAGTATTTGAAGGGAGCCTACAATAAAGGTGGAAAGAGACTATTTACAAGCGTATGTAGAGACAGGACAAGGGGGAATGGTTTCAAATTGAAATAGAGTATGTTTAGATTTAAATATTATGGAAAACTTCTTTACTGTGAGAGTGGTGAGGCACTGGAACAGGTTGCCCAGAGAAGTTGTGGATGCCCCATCCCTGGAAGTATTCAAGAGCAGGTTGGATGGGGCCCTAAGCATCCTGGTCTAGCAGAAGGTGTCCCTGCTCATGGTAGGGGGGCTGGAACTAGACAATTTTTAATGTCGCTTCCAACCCAAACCATTCTATGATTCTGTGAAACGTAAAAAGATCAGTGAAAACTGTCTCTGAGTGGTCGCAAAACAAAACTCTGCCTAACGGATCAAAGGCTCTCTTTGAGGCTATACCTGGGATATGCCCAGAAAACTTTTCTGAGTTTCCACCAATCATTAGGGTGAGCTATGGCCGTAAAGTGAAGTTTGTGCCAGAGGAAAAAGTAACTTAACAAAGATACTCCACCGACTGCTGGATTCAAGCTGCATTTCATAAAATCAATCTTCTGTTGGAGCAGAAGCACTTTTGTAGCTATTCTAACCTAATTTTCATGGATAATCTGACTTTTTGCAAAACTTCAAATGCTCTGGAGATCCTTAATTACCCGTAAATGTATTTTCTTCTGGCCTATTCTGAAGAGAGATGCTTGCTGTCCTCCAGCTATAAAAAAGACTGTCTACCTTCTTGGGAAATTTATTTGTTAATTTTGCATTAGAATCTATCTCCTGTGTCTCCTGTGTTTGGCCTATTGATTTCCTACCCCAATAAGTAGTACTCTCTTTAAGTTACCCCTTGATCCTGTGCGTTCATTCAGTCTCTGCCATCACACTTTATGTCATTTATATCTGTATAATAACAAACATAGTAAACTTCTGTGTTTTGGTAAAAGCCTATACTTCATTCCCAGCACTGGACCAAGACCATAAATAACAATACAGACTTATTCAAATTGATCTATATAAACTGATCTTCTAAATTTTTATTCTAAATAAGTCCCAGGGAGATCTTAAAAAATGCCTGTCTTTCTGTCTTCTAGTTATGCAGGATGGCTGCTATTCATATCATCACTTCTACAAGCACAACAAGATTTGTGGGGAAAAATATCTTTCCCAAGAGACATCAGTGCCCTTGGATATTACGAAAATAAGACATATAACTAAGGAATGCATTCCATATACCCTTCTTTTGGGAAAAGTATGATACAACTGAATTGTATTAAAGTTCAGTGAGGTCTATCTATACTGGCCTCAAATCCCATGTCTTTAATTACTGAATGACACTTTTTTCTATCTTGTGGTAAGAAAAAAGGATGGGAAACTGTACATTACAAAATGACAGAAAATTAGGAACATTGTTCTGATTTAAGGAACAATCTTATTACTGGATGGATAGAATGGGTATGGAAGTTACAGGAACAGTCATAAAAACCTTGAGGCTTTCCAGTCAGCAGCTCCACCACTGATACTGCCATATGGGCTTTGCCCTGGATGCAAGCTCAGCATATGGTTTCTCTCTTCTGAATTTTGGTTTGCTACATCTGTCTGTCATCCTCAGAAGTTGTCTTTTAGTGATTTGGTCATATTTTCCAGACTCTTCCTTCATTGGCTGGCTAGAAAACTGTTGTTTTCATAATCTTTAAACTACTTGATCTTGACTAAACAGGGAACAACCAAGAGGACATTTTTAAGTGCAGCCTCACATTAGTGTTTTTGCAATGTGGCAGCTGTTGCATTTAGAACCCATCATCTTTAAAATGTCCTGGCGACTGCTGAAATGCGTACACACTGCTGGCTTTTGTGGAGGGCTCCATATTCCCAGTGCCATGTAGAGATGTGCTGCCAGGCAGCGTGCTGGTGTTACCTGGTGGACAGATCCTGGCCCCAGTGCTGCCAGCAGCACAGCTCCCTCACTTGGTGATATTCTCCACTGTGTAAAGGAATAGTCTCATCTGAATATGCAGTTTCATCCTACTTTGTTAATCACTGCACAAAAGGTACATGAGACCAAACATAAGCCTTTCACAGAGGTGAAGTAATCTGCAGAGAATAAAAGGTGATTTCAGTGTAATAAGAAGAAGCTGAAATGTAACTGCTCTCTAAGGTGTTTCTCATCCAAAGGCTGAAGAAGGCTGAGGATAACTTATTTCACTGTCCCAGTAGTTTTGTATCACAACACAAAATTCAGCCATCTGCTAAATTGGTAAAGTCACTAGCAGAAGAAATGGGCTTTAGTTAGATTCCCTGCTCCCCTTGGTTCACATCATTCCACATTTACCTCACAGAACCTGCTTCTAGAGCACCCCTGTAGACAAAGCCCTGACTAGCAATCCACAAGGTAGCTGTTCAGTCTTGCTGGCTAATCTTCCAGATCTCACTTTGCCTCACTAGTGCCTGGTTTGCTGCTGCATTTCTCCCTTGTAGTGTGAGGTGTTTTAAGACTTTCAAGTTGCTTTCTTTTGAAGGCATTAGGGGATCACTACACATTTCAGTACTCTGCCTGCATTGATGACAGGAGAAACAAACAAACATGGGTCTTGCCGGAGACAGACACAGAAGGCCAGACTTGCTATCTTGCTGTTTTAGTTGTCAGTTTCTCCTTACTGTGACTGATTTTATGCCAAATGCGTTGAAATGCTAAGAATGCCGTTACCATACTTAGTATCAACTTTGCTTAGTGGAAAACTTTATCTGCTTTCTCTCTGAGCTCAAAACCTACAATACTAGATGAAGTGTAATAAATATCAGAACTAGCACGCAGCAGCATGGTTCCCAAATAGCCTCCCTTTCCTTCTAATCACCAGCAGAGATTTTACCATTTTTGCTTGCAAAGCCTGATGTATTTCTTCAGGCAGAAATGTCACAAAAGTGTAACTGTTGCATTTTATTATTTTTATCACGAAGGTCTCCGGTGTGTCTTAGTGACAACTATGATCCAAAGCAAGCATGGAGGTAGGTGCCCTCAGTGTCTGAAGGGTGGTCAGGACCATGTTTTCCTGTGAGCTAAGGTGACAGCACAGCAGAGGCACCCAGCTCAGGCCATCCCTTTGCCCCAGCTACATGTACCTTGCAGAGTGCCAGGATGAAGGCCACACTCGGGTCCCTCTCAGGGGGCATCCCAAGCAGGGTCCCTTGGTCCCAGGGCCCCACTTGAGCCTGCATGCACTGAGCACTTCCCTGCTGTCAGGGCCATTGCACTTGGCCATCTTCCCACATGCCCTGACTGCACACGAGGAACCAGCCCTTAGGCTGAAACCAGAGAGCAATGTTCCTTTTCTTATTTCAGCAGGAAATATCTGCTAGAAAAGCCCCTCTGCTGACACTGTTTCCTTTTAAGTAGTATTAAGTCATACTGGTCTGATCTTCTCTTCCTTCCCCCTCCCACCCTTGTGACAAGCTGAGAGTTCTGCAGCTCAGGAAGAAGAGAGCTGCTGAGAACTAGTAAAGCTGATGTACTTTTCTCCCACAGGCACATCCCACCCATTGTTTTTCCCCCTTCCTTTTTGCATTTGAGCAGTCTAGGTCAGCTGTTCTCGAGAGATATTACCTGTTGCAGGGGTCGAATACTTCTGCTGCTCTGAGCTTTCTCCTTTTTCCTCTCTGCAGCTGCAACAGCTGTTCGTTAGGAGATCACCCCTCCTCTTTCCTCTTTCCCCACCCGACAACTCGACGTCACTGTATGTAGCACTAAGCAGGAACAAAACTGCACTTCCTGAGAAAGAAGCTTCTAAACCCAAATGTCTCCATTACATTTGCTCTGTTCCTCACCCAGCCCAGCCTAGCCCGACCTAACCTAACCTAAATTGTTTGTTGCTGTTGTACGAGTAAGCTAGTCTGTAAATCCCACTAACCTTATCCCTTAACCCAGAAAAACATTTTGAAGGATTACTGGAGAGAATAAATGCATAATTAAAAAATTTTCTTTTATGTTTAGCATCATCACAACAACGATGCTAACAACACTATCGAATGACAAGGAAGACTACACAACATAAAAGGAGAACTTTAAATTATTTCATATAGAGAAAAAATCTTTATCTTATACTTCTTATCTAGATACTTTATCTTATACTTCTTATCTAGAAATGGTTTTCCATGTCCCTGTGAAATATGGGCACCACTGGCAGGAAAAATATGTGTTCATCCTAGTTTACTTCTGCCCTTAAGTGTCTGGGATATCTCATCATAAATCAGATGAAGAAGAATGCCTTAATGTTTTTATAAACTCCCTTCTGCCAATAAAGAAGTTTCCCCACAGCACTGGTGTTGAAATCCCATCCCATCCTACAGTGATATTTGAAATTTGATGCTATAACTGAAGCAGTCACTGAGGACAAAATGAGCAGTTACGTGTAGGTAGAGTGATAAAAAGTGGCTTACCAGGTCTCATCCCTATTGAAAGTGGCACTGAGCTCCTGGCAGGACCATCTCTGCTGTCCTGTTGTGTTCTGGGGAGGTAAGAAATGTCTCCCTGGCAAGTGAATGATTTCCTGGCAAGCACGGTGGGGCAAAGTGTTTTCCATGGATATGTCTCCCACCTGGGACCTTAGCACAAGGGTTATGCAGTCATGACTGGCTTTCCTGTCTGTGTGGCATCTTACTTGCACTGCTCAAGAATTATCATATTTTTTTTGCTAAAGAACTTATTTCTTTCTCAGGAGGAAATAATACATCAGTGTAAAATTAAGGGTTAAGTAATTAAACAAATGGCTACTGAAAGGCTCCACTGAGCTCTTGCAAAACAGCCCCCACTGACTGCCTCTAGGAGGACAACTGGAGTGACTAATACTGCAGGAGTGGAGCTTACCACTGTAATAAAATCTAAGAGCAGGAAGAAAAGCTTTTTTCAAACATCAGCCAAATACCTAAAAGCACCAAAAGCTCAGATAGCTTTGTGACATGCAAAATACCTCTTGTGGGCAGCTGCCAAGCTAAAGCGTACACAGATGACAAGGGCATCTGCAAGGGCTTGTAAGGTGGATGCCAATTCCTGTCCGTGGTGGTGGCCACCCATGACACAACCTGGCAGGAGCCTGGTGAGGTGCTGCCCACCTCTGAAGCATTTTTAGGGCTTTCCTTTGGCAACAGCTTGGCCCTATGGAGTGGATGCCCATTGCTTGCTGAAAAAAAAAAAATCTCCTGGGGCGATGGCCTGTGATAGGAGTCATGTCATCCTGTTGTCCATGTGAAAGGAATTATGTTGGTGCATTCGGAGCCTGCCCTGTGGTGAGGAATGAGGCATAGCAAGGGGTAATGACTAGAAAATTCACCTCAAAAGTCTACTTCTAACCTGAACTGTAGTGCTCTTACAAATGCACTCATTGGAGTGGCAATGCACTGCAAGAGTAGTGCCAAAGTACAGGGGTTTATAAATCTATTTTTACGTAGGTATTCAATTTCTCCTTTGGGAGATGTGGAATACAATTCAGCCAGGGCTTGTAGTCAATCTGGCCAATCAAACCTGGTCCTAGACATTAGAATAACAAAAATATTTCTCTGAAATACAAGGAGTTTTTTCTGCGTACAACTTTCAGTTGAAAACACATGTAGGTCTCTTTAGCTGTGCAATTTGCACTGGTGTTTTTGTAGTGTGATGGGTATGAGAAAGGAAAATCAGTAACAACAAGTAATAACTTTTATGAGACTAGATAGAAGTGGGAAAGCTTCCAGGCACACAGGTTTTGGAGAAAGGCCTTTATGCTTAAAACATTTAACAATTTTGTAATCTGCAAAGACATTCAGATGAAAGCAAATATTCAGTGATACTTTTGGAATAATTATTAGCTGGATATGGGAACAATAAATAAGTCCTGGAAAAAATTCTACCTTTTTATTTTTGGGAAATAAACTTTCTTCTTCACTCCAGCTGTTGCTTTGGTAAAAAAAAATTCTGTCTAGAAACACCTCAACCAGCATCAATGTATGTAAGTGCTGACATCTCTTGAAACAAGCTACTTGACCGTTCAGCCCATGTTCAGCCTGAGTCTTCTGGATTTCTCAAAATATAAACAGATTTTTACAACATTTAGTTTCCCTGCATCATGAGGTGGGGAAAACTGTCCTGTCTGGCCACAGTGCTTGTGTCAGGAACCATTGCAACTTATGTGAAAAGGTAATGGCAACTTTGGAAGGTTTCATGTGATACGGAAAGAATCTCATTCTCTTCAAATAGGAAACATTGCCAAAATAAAACATCTGCATAGCTTTTGTTTCCAAATCCTTGCTATAAAAGCAATATGCAGATGTGTTTTTAAGAAAAGAAATTATGTGTCTTAAATTTTCAGTGTCTCTGTTAATTTTATGTCTCCTTTCTGCCATTATTAGGTTTCTTGTCTATGTGAATTCAAGCAGGTGTTGGCCAGTGGATTGTGCTATTTTAAGCACTGGTAACTCACAGCCCTGAAACAAGTGCTTAACTGGAAGCACACACTCCAGTGCTATTTGCTTTAGTTAAACTGTAAATCCTGGGCTGCCTGGGGGCATTGGGGATGATAAGGTGCAGTACTGGTCGCTCTTATTTCTCACTAGCAGGCAGAGTACTTGCACAGTGCCGGCTGGTGTTCGTGTTGTGTGGCTAAGACTGCTAATGAGAAAAGGAAGGCTGGGCAGAGGCAGCTGGGGAAGCAAAGTCATCTTCACACCGCAAGCAAGTAATGGGGAAAAGTGTCATAGTTTTTGTCTGTATTCTCAAACCAGACAAAAGAGGAAGCAGCAGCTGTGCCAGGTTCACACCTCTCAAACCCTGGAGATTTTGTAAATTCAGCAGATCCCCTAGCTTGCAAACAGGACCTGCCTCACTGAAGCTGACTTGGTGGCATCATCTAAATAAGTCACACGAAAGTTCCTAACTGCTTTAGGATGACAAGAGGCATACTGGGGGACCAAGCACTGTGCCACAAGGGTCCACCAAACAGATACACAGTTGGTAGGATGATTAACTTTTCAATTTTATCAGGTGAAAAATGAAGTTTGGAAATGCTTTTGAAGGAAAAAGAGAATCACAGTCTGTTCGATTTTGTCCTTCTTTTGCATTTACCACCTTTTGGGACATTTCAGGCCCAATGAAGGCAAGGGTATTTCAGAAAGAGCAACTGGTGGCATCTCCTTGCCACTCCCCTACAGCTGGAGCACAACAAGAGGAAGGATGATGGAAGATAGTCAATAGCCCCCAGGCAGTTCCTGTCCTGACCTCCCAAAATGTCACTTGGAGAAGATGTGACAACTTACCCTCCTTATTTGTCAGTTTCTGTGAGTCTTTGAGGGAGCAGATCACATGGCCTCTAGATTGAGCTGTGTATTCATAACCAGCCCCACAACTCCTTAGGAATATGTTGATTTGGGGCATTCGTTATTTTCAAGCATTGATTTCAAGCATTGAAGCTACAAGCTACTACCCTAATCTCCAGGCTGAGGTAAACAATAGAAAGCTACTGACAGTGTTCTCTGCATAGGATAAAAATGCAAACCATTGCATTTCTGTAACACACATTAATCCTGCTTTTCATTAAAATATTTTCACATGGAAGGAACTTATTTTTATGATGTAAAGGATGATGTTTTAGGCTGATTATTATAACCTGGTTTTACTCTTCTTAGGGAACCTGAATCTGCATATTCATGGACGATATCATCTATTTTTTTAAAGGCGACAATTTTTTACAATTTAATTTTCTTTCAGGAAACAATGTAAATACCATCCCTCATTCTCCATTTTTAAAAAAAGACTTCCTTTATCCTTTATCCTGTCCTTTTTTCTTGTTCCCAAGCAGCTTCTTTTTAGCAGAGTGGGAAATTCACAGGTGGAAGGCCGTGAAAAGATTAACTAAATAAAGACATACCCAATTCTAAAATGAGTCATGCTTCTACAGTATCTGTGCCTCCCAGTTCACTGCTCTCAGTTTCATTGCTGAATGAGAACCCATCAAATATGTTACTACAATAATAAAGAGGAATTAGTATTCGATGGGCTGGGAGATTTCCCTTTTTTAAGTGGTAGTCCTTACCAAGTCACTCATAATAGGAGTTGTGATAATAGCTTCTGACATTTTCTGCAAGTTTAATCAATAATTGGCACAAATAGTGAGCTGTGGGAAACTGGAAGGGACAGGGATATGTGCCCTATTATTCTTAAAAAAAAAAAAAAAAAGAAAAGAAAGAAAGAAAAAAAGAGAAAATTAAGAGTTTAATATTTTGAAATACTTTTAATGATGAGTAATAGTAGCCAGCATAAATCCTTTTTAAATATAAGTAGCTCAGACAGGATTTAATGCTTGCCACAAGGACAACACCATGAGCTAATTATTAATTATTAATTTATTAATTAATTATCAAATTATTTAATTATTAAATATTGTAATCACAAGAAAAAATCTGTTCTAGCTAATGTGAACTTCTCCCAAAAAGTGGAGACCAGAATTGAGTACACCTCAAATTCAAAGACACTTGAAAATGAAGTACATTAATTGCTTAAAGAGAGAGCGCAACATTTTGAAAAATAATTGAAGTCAAATGGTCTTTATTTTTATTTGTAGAAGAAAAGCTTTCTATATAAATATGTCTGTCAAGATATTTCCTTTCTAGGAAAATGAACTATAACACATCATTCCAGCTAAGTCCAGAGGAAGTTGTGTAGGTTCTGTCCTACCAAGATAAGAAACTTGAGGAATACTGTCAACAGTAAGAGTTACAGTGAATAGATGTGGTCGTAACTGGTGTGCAGGGGGCACATATGCTATTTGAAATCTCAGTATTTAATCTCCTTAATGTGTATTTTGACTTTGCAAATGCATTGCCATGCTTTAACAGTTATTTTTTAGAAGGGAGTGTTAACTGTATTTACTTTCACACACTCAAAAGCAGATTATATTATTTGCTTAGAACACAATTCCTTATTGTTGAAGGTAACGTGGTTTTAGGATCCTAATTGTAATGGCTTGGGCTCAGCAAGGTCAGTTTTAGAAAATGAAACAACCTTTCAGCCTTTTGTGTAGAAAACTGAGGAAGAACATGGATTTCCCTCTACTCATCTGCTCATCACTTACCATTGCTTCTTCCTCAGTGCCACTGAAATTATACTGGAGGGTTGCCAGTTCACATAAGCTGGGAATTTCAATTTTAAAGTTGTATAGAGAGAAAAGGAATTCATTCAGGACACAAGCAATGAAGAGCCTGAATGGTGTTTGGAAGCAAGGTGGGGTTGGCAGTCTGTGGCTGCAGAAGGGTGGCCCCACAGTAGCACTGCAGCTGCCTTCCAGTTTGCAGGCTGGGCTGTGGCACTGGCGTGGCTGCAATGCTGAGAAGAAAGATTTTCCTTGTGTTCTCCATCAGAGTTTGCTCCTCTAGGAATTCTTAGCACTGAAAAATCCCTTGCACTTTACTAAAGATTTCATGGTGTCAGCAGAAGTGTGGAAAATGTTGATACAAACAACTCATCCCTTCCTATATGAGGATTAGTAGGAAGATTTTTGGATATTAAAAAGCAAGTCACCTTATTGGAAAGTATTAATTTTAATCTTATCTGCTTTGTTTACCTTTTGGCTTTGTGTTAAATTTTTAAGCAAAGTAAATTCATTCTGCCAGTCAAAACTAACACCTTCATTTAGGATTTATTCTCTGTCTTTGTCACCCTCTTTTCTTGATCTTCCCTGAACCAAGGGACAGGCTGGATTGAAAGGGGTGAGGACTGGCAGTATGTGAGCACTGTCTTCCCATGGGCAGTTCCTGATCCCCTCTTCAGCCCAAACCCTCCAGCCCTGGTGGTTGTCTGGCTGATCCACCACAGCCACCCCTGCAACTTCCCTAGACCTGCTCTGAAGGAGTTCACAGCTGTCCTTCCTGGGAATGGGGCTAACTCTGTGTGATTATTTGTAGAGTTATTTCCACAGGCTTTTATTTCTGTTTGTTTGGTTTTGGTGTGTTTTTTTCTTAATGAAGCCAGACCTGGTGGAACAAGACAAACTTATGGATGAAGCTGTTTGACTGTGCCTTGTGAATAATTTTTTTCCAAAAAAAAAGTCTGAAATAAACATTCTACTGTAGCTATTCTGAAGTTTCATGTGGAACACAAGCCTTTCGACCCCAGTTCCGTAAATCCACTCCAGAAAACTGACTCTGTATGGATGAAATCTTACCACTTTTGATAAAGTTTCCCCAAAAGTGCAACACAGCTCAGCACAGCACAGATAAGGAGGGTGCTGTGGACAAACCATGAGAACTGGCAGAACTGTGACTGGGACCTGTGCTGCACAGCACTGGTGCGTGAGTCTTATGGAAAAGTTTATGAAACTTTCTGGCCCATATGCAGCCCCATCTTAGAAGGATTTTTTTTTCATCTATGCTAAATTTCTGGTGGGGATTTGAGACTTTGCATTCACTATTTTATTAATTTCCTTTTGAAAATAATACATGTTTAAAGACTCATTTGTTTAACTTCTAGAAAAATACTAACTAGAAGAAACACCAGAGGGTTGCAATTAGCCAGGGACACAATATACAGCTGACCTGGTAACCCACTGGTTGTGAAAGACAGATTACTCCAAAATGTTAAAATGGCAAGGTGAAGAGAGAGGACCTCCTGAACTCTCCAACTTTCTTTCTTTTCTCTTAAGAATCCTTACCTTTCTTTAAAAGGTAAGAATAAAACAAAGACACACTGGCTTGCTATTTTCTTTTTCCTTTTTATTTGTGGAGTAACTACGTCTGTTGCAAAGTCCCCAACTTTATATATGTCTTCTAGATGTAGTCTCAGTACAAATAATTTCTGTTATTTCACAGCTGGCAAAAAAGTAATTGAAATCAAATGCTGTTTTCTGAGCTCTCATCACCATCTCTGAGATCTTCTTGTTTCTTTTAGGAATAGTTCATTTTTATTTCAATTCCTCCTATGAACCCAATAACACTTTACTGATAAGCAGCATGCTCTTAAGAACTGAAACGCTGTCTTGCCAAAACATGTGTACATTAACCCACAACTCTTATATTTGTCTGTAATTTCACTTTGCCCTCTAGTGCCCGTTCTGTTTTTTTTCTTTTGCACTGCAAAATACCATGATGACTGAAATATATCAAAACAGGTTTTTATTTGGCAATGAGATTTTTAAGGACACTTATGAATTAAAAAGAAAGCATAATGGTATGAGTTTCTAAACAACTAGTAGGCCATAAATTAACATATTCTCACTGCAGACAGGTTAGGCAATAAAAGCTGGAATCTTTCATGAGACAACAGCTGAAAAATATTTCATGCTTCTTCCAAGTTTCTGTAAAAATGAGGCCATTTCAATAACAGCTTGCATTGCAGAAGCCACCCAAGGATGTCAGAACCAGAAGGGTAAGTAGACTGAATGTGCTTTTACTGTACAGGTTTGAAGAAGTACAAAAAACAAACAAGCAACAGAAATAAGATTTGAAATAGTCCCATGGTGGTAGCCATTTCAAGTTCTCTTAGTTACAAAGCCAAGAAATATACATTTTGCTGTAATGTTTGTGGCAGGATGTCACCAGATGGAAAAATTACTCCAGTATTTCACTCTGTTTCTTTGGTATTTTATGTTGTTCTGGATAGTGGTGAAGTTGCTAGCTGGTTCATTTCTGGTATTTGAGCTTCATACCTGATACCCATGTCTCCTGGTGCTTCTTTAGCTTGCATTGATGAGTGGTAGTGAGGAGAGTATGTACACCCTGCAAATTGCCATTGTTCACATCAGTCTTTTTTTGTTTAGATGTACCTTTTTATTTTCACCCCTTTGAATTATACTTTTCTGAATGGCTGGAGATCAGGAAAAGCTTTAAAGTGGCTCCTTATGTGATGCTTAAACTAAACTGTAGCAACTTCAGTCCTCCAGGACTAATATGACCATCTCCTGGGAGCAGATGTGCTCTCTCCTCTGCTTCTTTATACCAGAAGGCTGTGCCAAATGTACATTGGAGTGGCCACAGGCAACAGCTTTTTTTTTTTTTTTTTTTTAAGTTATTGGGGTTTTCATCAAATTTTTAACAATATTCACTGGGTAGAAGATCCAGGATATAACTCTGTTTCCCCTGTTACTAATGTATAACAAATGAGCGGGGAAAACACACCATTTGAAATGGAGTTACCCAGGGACAATTTCCCAAGGGTAAAATCCAGGCCCAATTTATTGCAAGCTATTCTAAAGAATTTGATTATATTATAATTATTACTGAAGGCTGTGTGTTTTGGAGGGGAAATTAATTGAAATTCCAAGGTCTATATGTTTCTGTGGTTCCATTTTTGAGCAAACAAGAAGAGACAGACTTCATGGAGCAATAAAACAGAGGACTGGATGGTGATGTTTGAGATTGCATTAGCCAGGATGACTATGTCCATGAGCAAGTAGGATGTGCCACTAGCAGATGTGGCTTTTGGGTACTTTTATGTAGAAAGTTATTATTTCAGATACCTTTTCAAAGAAGTTTAAGCAAATTGGAAATATTGCAGGAAGGAATAAAAGCCTTGCCCCAAATAGTTAGACGAGGCAAATGCATTTCAGTTATAAGTAACACTGTCAAACTGAAAAGTTACTACAGAAGCCGTAACTACTGCCAAAAAATATCCTATGCAAACAAATCCTTCTGGAATTATTTTACATCTTCAAACATAGCAAATGTTTGAATTACTCAAATGTAAAAAAAAAAAAACAAACCAAAAACAACAACTAAACAACATTCTTGGAAAAGAGGATACAAACTTTGAAAGAAAAGTGCATGTTCTCAGCCTAAGTCAGGACCACTTAAATAATCAATATAATACTTTATTTTTGGTGTAATCTCAATCAGTACAATCTAGCAATTCCTGTAAGGTGAGGGATGGGTAGTCAATTCACAAATACGTGATTTGAAAATGTGTAGGTGAAATAGAGATGGAAAGTAGCAACACTTTTTCTCAGTAGAAAACACCATAAGATTTCACTACCTATTATAAAGTTACAATATCTTACAATGGATGTGTAATCTAAGTGCAAAGTCATATAGACTAATTTATAGCTAGAGTAGAAAAAATTATTTACATTAATAATGCATTACATTTGCAAAAATAAATTTCAGGAACATAATTATTTAAATACAGTTAGAATGAACTAGAAACAATGCCACAAGATAGATCACAGAATCAATAATAAATATTATGTATAATATTTCTTTATAAATGTATAATTTATGTGAGGTTAAAATCTTTGTACCTTAGTTGTTAAGCTCTCTTGTCACTTTATCAATCAGTTGGAGACATCTCCTGATTTCTGCACGGCTGATCTCCCAGGAGCACAGGTTGTGTTGTTTGTCTTTAAGAAAACAGTCTATTTTTTGGAAGTACTTTTTCAATTTCAGTCTGCTGACTTCTTTATTCCAACAGTAGTGGGTGTGCTTTTTGATTACACATGCCTCCAATTGCTCAATTTGCTGATAAAGTCCATTTTGGAACTGATCCAAAGCTGTCCCATCCCAAGCAGCTAGAGTCAAATTTTTGCTAAAGATATAGAATATATGTTGGAAGATCTCTTCAATGGCAACTCTGACAGTCTCCTTCTGTCGGGACTCTAGAACCCACTTAGGAAATCTGAAGGACATTTTCTCTCTTAGACATTGTTGAGGAAAGTTTTTGCCCATTCTGTCCAAAAGTCGTAGGCTGTTTTCAATCACTTTTCTTTGCTGTAATAGAAGATGGTTGCACTGATGACTGCAGATGACGGTGGTACACAACAGTATGAGGCCAAGTTGTATCCAACCAAAAGCATTCATGATAAAGCAAGCTCTAGTATTCTTCCTTGTCTGTCTATAAATTCTGAGACAGGCTGTGATGCTTTGAAGGCATTCGTAGGCTCCTGTTTCTTCAAAATCTTGAAATTTAATTATTCTGTAGGAGAAGTTTTCGTTCATCATTTTTTGGTTTTTAAGGTTTTCCCCCTTCTGTATGCTTTTGAGAACACTTTCATTTTCTGCTTTATGACTTCATAGTCTTTTTTTTTTTTTTTTTGCAACTTTCTTTTTTATTTCAGCTGGATATTAGATTGTTATATATATGTCAGACTATCTATTCAAAAATTCTAAACAAAGTATTAGAATTTGAAATAAAGAGTTTCAGAAATACTTATTTTCTTAATATTTTACCAGATATAGAACATGTTGCAGTCAAGAAACGCTTGCAATGATGAGTCAGGGACCTGTTGAATGCTACTGCCATCCTGTCTCCTTATCATGATTTATACTTCCAAGATTCAGTTAAGCTTTCTTTCAGGGAAAATATTTTCTGTCTCCTCACCTTTATTTCTCTTGACTATTTAGACTCAAAGGATAGATGTCATATCATTAAAATGTGTATATGTGTGTGTATAAAGATGTGTATATGTATTAATATACCTTTGTGGGTTTTAAAACATGCACTCTGCTAATTAAATGAGGCCTTGATTTCACTTAGAGACTGTAAGTGCCATGCAAATACAAATACAGGGGAACAAGTTAGATACTTGGATGCAATATTCTTTTTCCTCTCATATGAATAACTGAACAATAGTTAACATTAACACCAGTTGAGTTCAGGTCTGAATTATGACATTAAATGGGAAGAGAATTAATAGAGAAGACAAAAAATACTCTAAAATTCAGCCATTTGCTTTCCCTAGCCATATAATAGAGGAGGTTAGAACCAACACAGTACCTTGGGAAATCTGACTTCTGGTCTTGATTGTATTTTGATGCAAGCTAGTCTTAAACTGCTAGTTTTCCTGCCTCCCCTGCCTCCTGTGAATATATATGAAAAGGTAAAAGCAATGGTCTGTAGGTGATATTGTCTGGATGAAGGGGTCAGAAAAACTGGTTTTTCAGTCTGAGACTCTGTATTTCTTGACCTAAGAAAATAAACACCCCTGCTTTCCAGCCAGTCCTCAGAGATCAGAGGGGCTGAGTGCAGCATATCTCTTGGAAATCCCTTCACCAGATATCCTATGGCGTATCTCATGGCTCATCTCATTCCTACAGTAGTTTTTTTCCTGTTGTTGCACCCATTGCTATATGGTTGGCTTGATTCCCAGTCTGATAGTCACTGAGCAGACTGATGATACTATTTTAGTGCTTCCTTTATGTTCAGCACATAGGTATTTGGGAGGTTTTAAAATGTCACAAATTAGGCTGAGCATGATTATTTTCATAAGCAAACTCCTTGGATGCCCTGATGTTGCTTAAGCAACCTTCAACTAGATGTTACTGCCAGTGTGAGGGAAAATGTATCTCCTATCACCTATGACAGTATTAGCTAAAAAGAGTAACAAACAATCAGAGTGGGATGCAAAATGTGTAACATGGAACTGAATTTTTTCACTTAGTGGGAATTACTTTGGAAAAATGGCCTAAGTGCATTATAGTTTTAGATGCAATATGGCCATGAAGATGTATCACTTTTGAAAAAATACTAACATATCAAAGTTATCATGAAATCAATACAAAATGTATGTACTTTGAGAAAATTATTACATAATGTTACAGCTATTTCCATAAATTATGCACAAGTATTTTTTCAAAACTGTAATCATTATATGACTTTAATCCCTCTACTGATTTAAACGGTAAACTTCTTCATACTCATTGTATTTCCCAGACATGCAAGTTCTTTGTTTCCTCTTGCAAAAATGTTTTGTCTTCTCAATGAAGAGCTGGAGATGCTATCCTGGGTGTCACTAGGCCCAAGTGTTTTATTCTCTTGTCTGTGATAACAGATCAGTTGTCCATGCCTCCTCACAAAAGTTACACTTAGTCCACCAGGGTTTGGTTTAGGGCTTCTGTATTTGAGTTTTTTGTATGTTTGGTTGTTTTTTTTTAAAGAACAATTAATTGTTCTTCCCCACTCATCCCGTTTCTTGATTACTGTACTAAGCAAACCAGGACACATTTACCCTTATTGCCTCATTCAGAAACAAACAATTCATTAAATGTAATAACTGCAAGAAGTAACTGAGTGATACAAAGCTGCAGATTGTTGTTTATTTCTCTTCCTGTGGGTGAAGCACACACCAATCACTCTAACCTATAATGAAAGGAGGAAAAAAGTTGGCAAAGCACAGCTGTATTTCCAAGTGGATGTAGCAGATCATTATTCTAGAAAGGTTATGTCTTTGATGCCATGCAAAAAAGATATGACCTTGAAGGATCATCTAGCTATATATGTATCCATTACAAAATACTAAGGCTAAGAAAATGCATGATTTTATATCTTTAAAATGCTGTCAATGACTTCTCTAATGCAGATTTTTCCATTGTATTTTTCATTTATATTTTATAATGCAATAGAGGAATTCCCTGCATATTTGCTATCCAACTTTTATCTCAGGCACCAAGGCAAACGGAAAGTCTAAGTTTGGCCTATGTATATGCTGGAAAACAGAGCACTGAGAAGGAACATTCCTGCAAAATAGCATGCTTTTGACCTCTCATAGCTATCCTATGTTAGACCATTTCATCTATTCTAGATACCAGTTTCTTTTCTCCATTAATTCCAAACACACTAGTTTTAAGAAGCCCATGTAGAACAAAGTAGTTTAAGCCATCAGTTTGTCTTATCACTGCACAAGACAGCTTCCTTGCCCGCTAGCTTGACACTGCCCATGCTATAAGAAAATAATTTTTCTCCATTATGGTTTTCACCACAGCTATAACTTACCAGTCTTCTCCCTTATAGAATCATAGAACAGTTTGGGTTGGAAGGCATCTTCTGAGTCCTGTGAGGAGAGCTGAAGGAGCTGGGGGATGTTTAGCCTGGAGAAAAGGAAGCCTAGGGGTAACCTTATCATTGGCTACAATCACCTAAAAGGAGGTTGTAGCTAGGTGAGGGTCAGCCTCTTCTACCAAGCAACTAGTGACAGGACAAGAGGACACAGTCCTCAGTTGCACCAGGGAAGGTTCAGACTGGACATCAGGAAGAACTTCTTCCCAGGAAGGGTTGTTAAGCAGTAGAATTGACTGCTCAGGGAGGTGGTGGAGTCACTATCCCTGCAGTTGTTCAAGGAACATCTGGATGTAGCACTTTGTAGTAAACATCTGGTTGGCACTTGGTCTAGTTGACAGTGTGATCAGTCAGTGGTTGGACTTGACGACCTTAGAGGTCTTTTCCAACCTAAATGATTCTGTGATCCTATAGTTCCAACCCCCCTGCCATGGGGGGTCCACTAAACTGAGTTGCTCAGACACTCATCCAGTCTGGCCTTGAACAGTTGCAACGATGGAGCATCCACAACTTGTCTGGGCAACCTCTTGCAGTGCCTCACCACCCTCACAGTAAAGAACTTCTTCCTAATATCTAATCTAAGTTTACCCTCCTCCAGCTTGAAGCCATGCTTCCTTGTCCTACCACTATATACCCTTGTATGTCCCTCTCCAGTTTTCTTGTAGACTCCCTCCAGGCTGCAATTAGGTCACCACAAAGCATACTCTTCTTCAGACTGAACAATCCCAATTCTCTTAGCCTGTCTTACAGGAGAGGTGATTCTGATCATCTTTGTGGCCCTCCTCTGGAGTTTGACCCAACAGGACCATGTCCTTCCAATGCTGGAGATCCCAGATATGGATGCAGCACTCCAGCTGGGGTCTCACAAGAGCAGTGTAGAGGGGCAGAATCACCTCTCTCAACCTGCTGGCCCCCTTTCTTCTGATGTAACCTAGAATGTGGTTGGTTTTCTGGGCTGCTAGTGCACACTGTGGTTCATGTTCAACTTTTCATCCATAAGAACCCCCAAGTCCTCCTCTTCAGAGCTGCTCTAAATGAGTTCATTCCCCAGTCTGTACTCATGTCTGGGATTGCCTTGGCTTATGTGCACCTTGCACTTGGACTTGTTAAACTACATACGCAAGGCTCTTACTGGCCCACTGTCTTCTGTGGTGTTGAGTGCTTCATCTGCAAACTTGCTGAGGTTTCACCAAATTTCACTGTCTACGTCATTGATAAAGATATTGATATATCTACTTCCCATCCCTGTCTTCCAGGTCAGGGGGCTGGGTAACCTGAGGACAACCAGTCTTGCTATTAAAGGCAAAAAAGGCATTCAGTACCTCAGCCTTCTCCTCATCTGCTGTACTTCCAGCAGAAATCTGGCAATATGAAGTCCCCATAAGAACAGGGCCCAGAGATTGTGAGACTCCTCCCAGCTGCTTACAGGATATTTTGCCTGCCTCTTCAGCCAGGTTGGGAAGGGAGCAGGGGGATCTGCGGCCCTGCCCCGCTGTGTTCCACTGGCCCTCCCTCAGGGCTGGGTGGCTCCTGTGCCCACACACGGGGCTCGCCGGTGTCCCTGCCTTGGGAATAGCCCTGCGTGCCGGGATCTGTAGCTTCGCCGCGGTATGGACTGGCCTCGAGCGCTTATCTAAGAAAGCAACTGCTTAGCTCCGTTACACTGCAACTAAATCAATATATTTCCATTATTTGTATTCTGTGTATTTATATCACATATTTATATTATATTGATATCCTATCAGCGATCAAGTGCCCCCTCAGTTGGTTTGAGGGTGATGACAAGTTGGATATGAGTGTTGATTTGCTGGAGTGCAGGAAGGCTCTGCAGAGGGATGCAGACAGCCTGCATACATGGGCCAAGGCCAGTGGGGTTCAAGAAGGCCAAGTGCTAGGTCCTGTCCTTCCTCTTTGGGAAGAGTGACTGGAAAGCTTCCGGGAGGAACAGGACTTAGGGGTGCTGATCAACAGCAGCTGAACATGACCTAGTAGTGTACCCAGGTGGCATCCTGTCTTGTAGCAAAAATAGTGTGGCCAGCAGGACTAGTGAAGGGACATCCTTGGCACTGGTGACTCCACAGTTAAAATCCTGTGTTCAGTTTTGGGCCTCTCACTCACTACACTACACTTTAGGCAACACTGGAGCATGTCCAAAGAAGGGCAATGGAGCTGGTGAAGAGAGCCCAATGAGGAGAGGCTGAGGGAGCTGGAGTTGCTTGGCCTGGAGA